TACAATATTATAAATAAATGACTGTGAAAGCAATTTCTTTATTCATAAATTTATAAAAAGTTTCTTTGAACTACAGAACAAGAAATTTTAAATCAACACATGACATATAATGACGAGTAAGTATAATTATAAATTTTGAAAAGACCCATTTTCTCGGCATTGCTTTCATTTGCTCTAGACATATAAATTAACTAAGATAGTTTGAGAGCATCTCTCCTCTAAATCAAACATTCTTTTAACTGGGTTTATTAAAATTTAAAAAAATAGCTTTTTAAAAAAATAAAAATTGCCGGCAGTTTATATTGTAATAAGGTTGTCAAGAGAAAAATCACCCTTTTGACATATCATTTTTGCGGGTATGTTTTTTTAAAGTTTGCCACTAGATTATTGGTCACTGTATCGAAAATTTGGTCTGATACTAAGACATTAAATTGACTTACAAAAATTAAAGAAACATGTAGAATTTGTTTTTTTTTTTAAAATGCAACCGGTATGAGTCTGATTTGATTTATATCCATTCTTTACAGAGAGTTATTGAATTGAATAAGGTTCTGGCTCAAAGAATAAAGCAACCGACATAATAATGAAAACTCTAGAATAATGTTTTTAAAATATTCCAGATAATATGTTAGAAAGAAATCAATATCGTTTTATTTTTACGAGCGATCAATACACTTCTGCAGTTGATATGCAAAAAATGGATGTGTGTGTGCATTTCTGGAGATTTTTTTTCATTTTTTAAGCATTTCAACCCAAGCAAAGTGTCATTAGTACGCAAAGGGTTACAGAGAGTGAAAATTATGAGAAAAAATTGGCTATAGGAGGGGTATTGAGGACACGATCAAAAGAAGAACGGGGATCAAGGCATCAGAAGATGACGAATGACGTTTCATTTAATTTTTTTAAGATTGTAGTTATCAGGGAAGCATGTAAGAGGAAGGGAGTTTCACTGTCGGGAAGTGCGAGAATAGAAGAGGCGGTTACATTTAACTGCTTTGACAGTAAAATGATGGGACCTAGATGGCAACCGAGTAGCACGCTTAAATTCATGCAGTCGGGTTGTAGGGAAAATAGCTCGTTAGAGCAGATGCCATGAAAATATTTGTCGAAAAGACAGGGGGAAGCTACCTCACGTCTGTGGAAAAGAAACTGGAGTCGAGATGCCAAGTCAGGAGCGATCACATTGCAGATCCCTCTTTGGATTTTGTCGAGAACCTCGAGATGAACTGTAGGGGCACCAGACCATATATGGCAACAGTATCCAATGCAGGGACGAATGGTAGATTTGTAGGATGGACTCAGACGAGAAAAACCTTCTGGCACGACACAGAGATCCAACTTTCCTTGCAGTAGATGCAGCTATTGATTCAATGTTGTTGCTCCACCTCAGGTGAGTAGAAAACGTGAGGCCAAGAAGTGAGACACTCTCGTGGAGTCGAGCATCAACGATGCTGCTAGGGGCCAGGGAAGTTTCTCTATGGTTGTCAAAATTACAAGCCATTTCCTATACACTAATTGGAGGTCCTTCTCGAGACCAACGACCAGGTTAACTTTGTCAGCATTGTCGAATTTACTATTGAGATAGGAGTAAATGTTAGTGTCATCTACATAGATCCCGACTTGAGAACTGAACAACAGCGTTCTTATGAAAGGATCTGGAAGAATGTCCGTTCAGGACGACCTTCATTTCAGGATTTGATAGGAATGATTGGATTAAATTAAATAATCGTCCTGTAATACCGTAGCCCTAAAGCTTACATAGAAGGCCAGCATGCCAAACCCTGTCAAACGCCTTACAGATAATTAGAGCCACGGCTCGAGCTTCGCCGTTATTATCAAGAGCTTGGTATACATATCAGTTATGCCCGTAAGCACGTCATCGGTAGGCCGGACAACTCGGAAACCATTTTGTTTGTCAGAGAATAGATCGTGGGAGGCGAGATGCTTAACCCCTTCTGTATTAGTTGTATAGTTTGGAGAGAACTAGAACGAGATAAGAAGCACATTTCTTTAGGACTACGGCTGATATCCCCTCAACGCCACTTGCTTTATGGGAGTCTAATTTAGAGATGATGTCAAAGACGATCGACGGAGTTATATACATATAACTCAGTAGAGCCTCAGTTGTAGCGGGAAATCATGTGTGGGCACTCCGGATGAGTCGAGTGTTGAGTTGGATGAGAATTTCCGAACAAAGCATTCAGCCTTATTTGCTTCGAATTGATTGATGTACGAACCAAACAGCTCACCAATGAATGTTTTCAAATAGGGGAGGAAAAGAGTTAAATTAATTGAATTAAAAAATAGTAGCGAGTAAAATTTGTTGTTAGCAAAAATCTCATTTCAAGTAACTATGTCGGATTATTGCAGTCTTCTTTAACCATAAATTAAAGTTTGTATGGAATACATTCTTTTTATAAACGCTTCGAATTATATATTAGGGCTGACTAACAAACCCTAAGTAACGTGTCGTTAAAAAAATGTGTATCACTAATGCCTAAAGTTTGGAAAGCTCCAGATTAAATTATCAAATCCAGCGATGAGAAAAATCAAAAGTTAGAAAAAAAATAAACCCTTTTTCGATGAAAAATAGAGAGAAAATCTCTAGGATTAACGCATTTTCTGGGCATCATCACCCTTATCATCATCATCATCATCATTATCATCATCATCATTATTATTATTATTATTATTATTATTTCCTTTAATTTCCTTCGTATGCTCATTTCCTTCCGGGCCTCAACTAAACACCTAAGGTAAGAAATGGCATCATGATATTTTCACGTAATATTTTTACAAAAAAACAAAATGCAAAAATAGCAATAAAAATAAAACAACCTAAGATAATACGCATTTTATACAGATAAAAAGGTGTGAGCTGTACTTGTATTTCTTTAAGGCATGGGTTACCAGATATCCCTTCAGTGAGTCTCTTGGTATGTTTTCTAATTAAACCGAGTGTTCCAACTACAACTGGAATTATTGATGCCCTCACGTGCGATATATTTTAATTTTACACACCATATTTTGATATTTTTTTGAAGATCTTCAAAGATACATTACAGTCTGCAGGAACTGTCATGATAATAAAAAAAGCACATTCTGTTTTTGTGGCCTTTGATTACTACTTTGATTATTCTCTGTGTATTGTAAATCCCTAAAATTAAGGTCCTATGTCTATACTATTATTATTATTATTATTATTATTATTATTATTATTATTATTATAGCCATCTGCTGTTTTCTGACTCGATTTTATCAACTGATGGTAATAACAAAGAGAAATTTCTTACCATTGAAGTATACCTAAGTTTGGTACGTTATATACAACTGTAAATCGGCTAGCGATAATCGAATCCACAACAGATGTCAGCAACGATAATGTATGAATAATGTGCCCGGCGAGATAGATAGATAGATAGATAGATAGATAGATAGATAGATAGATAGATAGATAGATAGATAAGAATAGACGGAGATAGATAGATAGATAGATAGATAGATAGATAGATAGATAGATGAATAGACGGAGATAGATAGATAGATAGAATAGATAAGATAGAGAATAGACTGAGATAGATAGATAGACTGAGATAGATAGATAGATAGATAGATAGATAGATAGATAGATAAGAATAGACGGAGATAGATAGATAGATAGATAAGAATAGACTGAGATAGATAGATAGATAGAAGATGGATAGATAGATAGATAGATAGAAGATAGATGAGATAGATAGATGGATGAATGGATAGATAGATAGATAGATAGATAGATAGATAGATAGATAGATAGATAGATAGATAGATAGATAAGAATAGACTGAGATAGATAGATAGATAGATAGATAGATAGATAGATAGATAGACTGAGATGCATAGATAGATAGAAATAGAGTGTGAGAGAGAGAGAGAGAGAGAGAGAGAAATAAACAGATCTAAAAACAAATCAAATCTCGCAGAATTATAAATGAATATACTACTAGATTGACGAACATATATAAATAATATCAGACATACAGAGTGTAATATGATAAAGGAGAGACCACTACAGGGATAGATGCAACAGTGACAAAAACCTTTCAGACATTACCTTAAACGTACCGCAATTACCTAGAAATAAAGAGAATCATTGAAATAATTGTTCAATTTTCATTTGATGACGTCTAACCTGAAATTACGTGTACCTGTATGCGTTTGCATCAGGTCGAAACCCTGAAAATCGATCAAATATAAAGTTTGTATGCATGAGTATGCAACCAGGTATATATACAATCGAATCAAATAAATGTAACTGTTATTTACACCTACCATCATGGTGGTATAAGGCGACATGAGGCCGGTTTAATGTGGCGAGGGCGGGTGGAGGTGGAAGGGTAGGATGTCTAACTTGTAAATAAATGATGGCTTTGTTGATGGCATTTATAATAAAAAATGCTCACTTTTTCAAAGAAAGAAATTTTATGCTCTGGAAATGTTAACCACCTTTGCATTTAGATCACAGCTAATGTAAGTAAACAATGTATAAAATGAATTGAACAATGTTGATATTTCCAATATTATGTTTTGAAAATCTAAATTATTAATTATATTATCATGAAATGCCGCATATGAAATAAACAACTACCAAAATTTTTGATTCTGTCAAACTGATTTAACTATTTCTAATATTATTTTACGATATTGCTAAACCTCTGAAAGAAATAACAGTGGAACGATATGCAACACTGAAAATGTTGGTTGATTGATTCGTTTTCTAAGACTTATTCAACTTTTGCAAGTTATTTAAAGCTATATTTTTTTTAGATTTTAAGAGTTTTTTTTTTAGATAGTAATGGCTTAAGGATACAAGTGTTACCCATCGCTGTTAAGAGAAGTAGATTCATACCTTTTCCTATATTGCGCGTAGGTGAATAATACGAACCCAGCGGGAAATGGAACTTGGCTCTCCGATTAGCAATTCCGAGCAATTATCCATTGTCCCAACTGCTCATCCAATCTTACAGCACTTTGTATTTTCAAGCGGGCATCCATCTAGATACTGATCAACGTCAGCGTTGCTTAACTTCGGTGATCGTACGGGAACCGGTGTTTCAACATAATGAGGCCGCAAACCGTAGAAAAGGAAAGTGTCAATAGAAAAAGATGTATTGAGACACGCCTTTTTTCTTTTGTTTGTTTTTTTTTGGGGGGGGAGTTGGGGGGGGCACGAATGTTCAAAGATGCCGATTTCTTTTCTTTTAAACAAAGGAAGATATTTTAATAGATATGGGATACTCGATTGCATTACATTTTTTTTTTTTTAAATACTTGCAACTGCTTTCTTTTCATTTGTGGATAACCTTTACATTAGAAGCAGAGAATTGAATTCTCTAAGCCAGGAGTTCACGTGAAACAACTAATTTAGGCTATTCCAGAACAATACCTTCAAAACGATAATAGAGATAGCACCACCTGCCAATCCTTTTGTTTTTAGGAGTGGGCCAATAAAATCCTCCATATTGAATCCGCGCAGCCATTTATAAACATTGTTTAAGTGACGCCAATTCAAATTCTGAACGAAAGTCGCTCGAAAAGTTGATTTGCATGCAACAAAGGATCTGACGTATTTACTTAATATAAGAGAATGCCACTAATGCGCACACGTGCACGAAAGATATCGCAGCTTTCAAATGTATTTCGATATGTGTTAATCTTTGAAGTTAAAGCTTTTTTCATCATTTATGCGAGATGAGAGACTTACCCCAGTACCAACAAGGGAGATAATCTTAATGGTTATATGAGACTAGACAAATGAGCTGGTAATGTTCATGGTGATAATGGTGTTTATAATACACTTAATGGTAGCTAAGCCGATGGTGTAGTGCCCGTAATAATATGATGGCAAATGAATGCACACCGGAAAAGAACGGGTTTATTGAAATATAACAGCATGATTCCTCGGATTTTTTCTATAGACATATTTAATTGTCCAACCTGACACATAATAAATACAATAAAATATCAAATCGATCAAACCGTTTTGTTTCATTTATGTAAGTACCTTCATGAAATCGCTAAAAATAGAGCATAGCATGATAAAAACGGCGTTAAACTTGATAAAAAAAGATTTATCGTCTAAATGTTTATGTTATTATTAAGAGGAAGGACTAAAGTATTCTTTGATTATTTTGGAAAATTTTTAATCCTCTTTAGCATGTCCGTAATTTTAAACATTTTTAGGGGTCAGCGAAATTACTAAAATTCGATCTTTCAGCTATTTTTTAGGATTTTGTAAACAGAAGTCAAATTCTACGTTTAAAAATCTTCCAAAAATCAATTATACCATTTTCAAAATTTATTTGAAGAAAATTAGAAAATTTAAAGTTTATTTAATATATTTTGAAACAAACATTACTTTCTTCACAAAAATATGTAGTTTAAAATAAGAAAAAAACATGTCTTAACGGTGATGATTGACACGTAATGAGTAATGGTTTCATTACGTATTGGCACTTAACATGATAGGCAAGTTATAGTACGGAGGGACAGATGTGACATGATCATTTCTCGTTTTAAGTGAACTAGCTTATTTATCTCGTAATTTTAAAAGTGAGAAAAACTTTTAGCAATTTAATTATTTTATTTTTTTAAGTACTTTAGCTTTCACCCTACGTTTGTTGATACTTTCTGGAGAAATTAAAAATAATATTAAAAAAATTAAAATAATAACTGCTGAGTGAGATAACATTTCATAAGAAACGTACATAAAGTTATAGTATAATTTTATGTACATTTATACAATTTTAGGCTATTATTATTTTTATCTCAGTTATTTTAAAATTTTATTTTAAAATCATTATCTTATTAGAAGAAAGGCTCAAAGTGTACTTTGATTATTTTTAAAAAATTTTTACTCTTTTTTAGAACATGCAAAATGTTGATTAAAAAGCTTGTTTTTCTTGTATCGGCGGTTGTATTAATTTTAAGTATAGCAAATTTTCGCCTCTTTTTTATTTGCGATGGCCGACACATTAAATTGGAAATTCTTGCAAAAATCAAATAATTCTCGGAACTTAATGAAATTTTTAGGATTTATTCACACATCAATGATATTAATTTTGGAATTTTTTTTTACACGTGTTTCTCCCCCTTAATAAATTTTGTAAAAACTTCATAAATTCTTCAAGATAATTTGTAGTGGCTATATTAGTTAAAAGCAGAATTTTTGGAGAATTTAAATCACCGATTTTATTATGTAAAATCAGACACAGTCTTACTGAAATCTGTTCTGAATAAAAAAAAAAATAAAAATCGTAATAAAACTAAAATATTATTTAATTAGAGAAGCTTTTACGAATAATATGTATTAAAGACAATATTGTTTGAAGAAAACAATTTCGATGAAAAATGAATTTTTACAAGATTTGTTTTCATTTTTTACAATTTAAAATTGAATAATTTATAAAGATTTTACATCTTTTAAAGTTCGACTTCGATAATTTTTAGGGAATATTGTTATCAATTAAAATTATATTATAATATAAATATATTTTAAAGCTTATTACAATCTGAAGACCCCGATATTTTTTATTTTCCGCCGTCAATAGCACAACAGAAAAACCACGTGATGTTTTCACACTCCCTGGGGCCATCCGTAAATCTGAAATAACCCTTTTTATAATGACTCAAGAATAATTTTAAATCCTATTTGTACATGCTGATCGTTTGCAGGGAGTAATAAAACTGCATAAATTATAAATTGTAAAGATATATCTACTTAATAACATCATTACCTAAAATGTCTAGCTTTTTCACTAATTTTAAAATATTTAGGAAATTTTATGTAAAAATTTTAAAATTAAAAAAAATATAAGAAATGACAAATAATTGTCGTAAAAATTCATTTTTCACCGAAAAAAGTTTTATTCATAAAAGCAACTAAAAGCTTTTGAAATTAAATAATATCTTTGTTTCATTAAGTTTTTATGTTACAATTCAGAGCTGAATTTTCTTAACTGGTCGTTCGAATTTACAAAAACAAATTGATGATTTAAATTCTTCAAAGACTTTTTTTTAACTAATATTCACAAAAAAAAAGAAAAACAAAAACATTGAATTTCTAGAGCTTTCATAAAATTAGTTATGGTGGCGAGTAACATATATAAAAAATCTTTTTTATTGTGATTTCCCAAATAAAAGACATATTTAAAGTAATTGCAATCATTTGTGAATAAATCCTGAAAGATTGATTAAAATCCGACGGCATATTTTTTTTTTGCAAGCTTTCCAAAATTGAAGCCTGCCATTGCAAAGAAAAAGGCGTTAAAATTTGCAATGTTATTTACTGATGATACTTTTGCAAAGAGAAATATGATTTTTAATCAAAAGTTAGAATGTTAGAATGCAATAATTTTAAAAAATAATAATAAAATCTTTTCTCTTAATAATAACATAAATATTTAGACGATAAAATTTCGTTTTCATCAAGTTTAAGGCCCTTTTATCATGCTATGCTCTTTTTTTTTTAGCAATTTCATGAAGGTACTTACACTTATGTGTTTTGAGGACGAGGGTTTTATTTACTTTTATCTGTAGATGTTAAAGCATATTTAACATTGTTTGGACGTGTTTTCTTCTTCTTCCTCTTCTTCTTCTTCTTCTTCTTCTTATTATTATTATTATTATTATTATTATTATTGCTGCTGCTACATCTGAAGCATACCAGCGGGCGCAACAGGTGAAATGTTGTGGCAGTAACAAGAAAGATGAGGAAATTAGTCCGACCGTAAATAATATAAATAAGGATAATTCCTCATCCCAGAAATTCGGACAGAAATTGAAAGACTTGCGTAACATTATGCAAAGATAACGCTGGAATCCTAATATATCCACCATTACAGTTTACCATGATAGTGGTGGGATGTAATCTTTTCTATCATGAGGTTGCTTAAGAAATCCTCTTCTGTAATTATCTCTGTCCTTGCAGCTTTTTGTTGCATTTATTCCGTAGCGAGGGCTGTTATCAGAATCTGGAATTGTACGTTTTATTCGAGATAGCGATAATGATAATGCTGATTATGATTCTGCAGCTGCTGCCGGTGATCATGATGATTATAACGGTAATGTGTGTGTGTGTGTGTCTTTTTTTTTAAGTAAAGAGATACTGACGTTACTATAAAAGAAAGACGATGAGCATATTATTGATAATAAAAGGCAAAACATATTTCGGCTTACATTGCAAACCAGAATCAGGCAATTTGACAACGTGCTTCTTGAATAAGACGCAAGGACTACACATGACGACTATTGATCGAAATAAGTACACTCTTAGAGTGAATCCCCAAAATATATTCAATTTCCTTTATAGATAAAAGAAAATGTTTCCTGTTTCCATAGAAAGAAATCATTTAATAAATGTTTTTTTCCTGCTTGATCAGACCAACTGAAAATAGTGAACTTTGACTTATTAACCATTCTTGCACACTTCCGTCGTTTTCCTGTAACATCAATCTTTGCTCTACGTGACATTCGCGTTCCTTGCTTTCAAAAACATACTTCAAAAAATCTTGAAAATTAAAAGTTTGCCATAAAAAAAAATCAATATGAATTACGTGACAAACAAAACTCTCTCATATCCATGCAATGGCAGGCAAAACAGACAAAATACCTAGCTAAAATCTTTTACTAAGATGTAATTATTCACCAAATTTTATTTCGGGAATAATACCTGTGGTCATTAATGATAATGGCACTTATCGACAAGAACTATAAACGTTAAAGGTGTAATGGATAACGAGTTAGAATGAGAAGTCGGATAGACGAGTTCGAATTCTAGTTGGGTTCCTTACATTCACTCTACGTGCAAATACCCTCGGAAATGGTATAAATCTGTTACTTCTTCTTCCCCACTATCTATAGGTTGGATAGCAGGACATCCTGGGTCCTATAGCCTTTGGTGGCAACCATTCTACCGCAGAAAGAAACAGCAACCTACTGCGGAAAAATCTTCCACCTAATCAGTCATGAATCGGAAGAGACATGATCGCCCAAGCGTGTATCACGTATGGTAGGTAACTGACAGACTATTTCGGTGGTCATTAAAGATCATGGTCAAATCCTAAGTATGACCG